CTGCTGCACCAAACGACCTATTGCAGGAGGTGTGTATTCATGCTGGCCAAGGGCTCATGATCCAAAGAAATGGAGCAACCCTGCCCTTTCTAGAACGACGCCTGATTAAATAATGTTATTGAAAACAGTTTTTTTGCAGTGCAATACCTGTGCTTGTTGAATAAATTAAAATAATACCAAGATCTTCGATTTCGATTTCTAAGAATGTCTCAAGGATCAGTTTACTAGGCAGGAGCGCACACCTTGTGCATGGTTTCCTTTACTAAACTTAAACCTATCGACTACACGAGCACCATTAAAGTTGCGTGTCACCTCTTCACCACCTGTCGAGACCCCTTAAACAGGGATTAAACTGAACTTTCAGTGTATATACACTTCCCGGTGTATACATCCTGATCATTCTGCGTATCAATATAAAGCTTTACAAACAAAACATTTGATGACATATCACATGTGTTAATACATCACTGGCTGTTGTAATATACTGTATCACTACCTTTACAGTTAAAATATCCTTATGTACATGTATCATTATTTCTACAAATTATCATTATCAAGTTACAGGAATCCTGCGTATCTTTGGAAGTTGTTACCAACTTTGGTTACAACGTGCTAAACCATACTAATATGTCTGTTGTATTAATTCTGCTGTCTTGTAATATGATTTACTCTTAAGTTACAGTGTGTTTTATCTTCTTTTCCACACACTTTACATTGTCTTTCCCCACTTGGAATTGCACTTCAACCTGCCACATATATACAGGTAATCTAAACGAATTCTGGCCACCTGTCTCCACGCTTCTATTTCCACCTTTCCTACCATAAACATGCGTTTATTTATTATTCCTTATTGCAGTGCTCTGTACTCACTGTTTACTAACGTACTCTCTTAATGAACTCATCTTCTACTCTTTTGACTTGTGTTTTCCTTGTAATCTGCTGCATTGTTTCTTCAAACCTGAAGTCTGTGTGTTCTTGCTGTGCTTCTACCTGTGTCAGTTTCATCAGCTCTCTCACTGCCTGCGATGTTAACATTAGATGGTAGCCACACAAACTTTACTGAAATTTTGTAATTTTCTAACATGTTTCACTTGTCTTCTACGCTACTGCTAATCATACTGCTGAAGGTTTGACTAAAAAAAAAGGTTGACCCCTAAAATACAACTGAGTCGATCTTTTTCTAAACAACCTCTACGATTAATTGAAATGCAATTAATTCAGTCTGGGTTGAATATACCCAGCCGAGAACACTTACGCTTTTTTTAAGAACATAAGAATAAAGAATGAGCACTGCAACTGGCCTACTGACTGAAGCTAGGCAAGTCCAAGATGCATGACAATCTTCTGGTTTAAATCTAGAGTTAGCACTGATCCAGCAACACCACTCATAGGATCTAGCGAGCCATCGTTTAACCTCTTGTGGAGATCTTCCTCGCATTCAGTGTGTCGGTGACTGCATTCGACGACGTGTCTGTGTCTCATATTGGGCTTAATCAGCTTTACCTGTATCTCTCCTATTTTTTTTTCATGCGATAGAGTTCATTACACAGGTCATAATAATTGAAGACTTAGACAGTTATAGTGTAAATAGTTTAGAAGACCGACAAGTTGAAGAATTAGACACTTTTGTAACATTTAGGAATCTTTTTTGTGGAAACGTTTCGCCAACAAGTGACTCTTCAGTCCGGTACAGAGACGAATGACGAAATGTTTCCATAAAGAGCTTCAAATGTTGTAAAAGTGTCTAATTCTTAAAATTATCCAACCTTTCCTCTGATCTTTAGAAATAGGTGTAAGTGTAATCGGCCTATCAGTAATACTGCTAAAAGAGCAAAAGGGCACAATATTGTGACTGGAACAATACAAAATTAACCCGCACATAGAAGAGAGAGAAGCTGATAACGACGTTACGCTACGACTTGGACCATTTACAAGTCACAGTGACTTGTACATCAAAGTCGGACCGAAACGTCGTCATAAGCTTCTCTTTCCTAACACTTTACTTTGTCCCTTACCAGTTTGGCGCCAAAACCGGTATTTACCTGTCTTATTCTGTCATAAATGAACAATAGGTTAAGATTTAATCTTATGATACAAATTTCGGCAGTTCTAGGGCAGTTGAGAATTTTTTCTCATAATCTGACTGAACCTACTCAAGTTTGTCTCGTCAAGAATCATCAAAGACAACAATAGCCTTTAGAGTGTGTATTTACCTGAACCATCTGCAGCAGGTGGTGGACGAGGCCCCAGGTCCCTGAAGGTGAACTCATTGGGGTTGGTGATGGAGGAGTCCTTAGAGGCGCGCACAATCTGGTTCTTACCAGGCTTCACTGTTGATATGTCAGTGTATCAGGAATGGTAGTGCAGACAATATGTGGATAATGACACTTATGCACAGTTGAAGACGCTCCTCGGGGCGAAACGTTTCCTCAATGCCTTGAAACGTGCATTAGTGTCTTTATCTACAGCATTATAACAATTTACATTAAATTATGACATTATTTTAGCTAAGTAGTTTTGCTAAGAATTAAAGTGTGATTATTATTACGTTAAAAAACAACATTTTATTAAATAATTCTAGCATCAATAAAAACGTAACAGTGGATTACTGGAATAGGCCTACTACTCCATGTTAGGCAGGTCCAACTCGCATCCATCCACTCCCTTTCATGTACTATACATGTCCAGCCTATATATAAAGCTACTCAATGTTCTCACTTCAATGACATTACTTGGCAAATAAACCATTAATGACGAAGTCATTCAGAAGAAGCATACTCCAGATGTTTAATGGAAAATATTGTTGTATCATTTAGAAATTTAAACTGGTAAAATAGTGCTGACACACTCCACTAACAATGTCAATATTCTTTCAAGTATACAACATGAGTGTTTAAAATTTTGAAACCTACCAGACGAGGCATTCTGAGGAAATCTCGTGGAAACCGAAATAGGGAATAGGCCTTGTAAAACTGAATAAGGCGCCTGTACATGTCAGATGTTCCGTGGACTTTGTTTCCCGTGGTTATAGTTCACTATGGATAAAATGTTGAAGCCAATCCAATAAGGTGTTCAGTTGTGAAGAACGAAAACCTTTGGAGAAAGTTAGCGGAAGACAAGATAACTGTTCTTACTGGCAATAACTGGTGCCTACAACAACTGGATATCTTTAACATGATAAGATGGAAATTTGTCAGTTGTAACGTTAATTCTTTATCAGAGTCAAGGTCAAAAAACTAAAACCTTTTTTTTTTTTTTTTTCAAAATAGTCTCGCTGAAGCTGAATCTACATAAGCCAGTACAAACAAAATCATCAAGTTATTATAACTGTTAAAATCACTGTATTTCTTGTTAATAGTACTTTTTACAGGCAGGCCTGCAGTAGTCCAGTCGAAAATCCACTCCAGTCCTGGCCTATTTTTATATAATATTTTCGATTTTAATTAGTAACATATTTTACTTTAAGATTAAATATGGTGTCATGAATAGCAGAAGAACGAACTAGTTCGTGCGTCTCCTCCTGCTGTCCTCTCTAAATGTGGCTGATATGTTGAGGATAACTTTTCCTTTTGTCCAAATGACAACATTTTCAGACTTTTTTAGGCAAATTAAATCATTTTTAATCTTCTAACCAATTCGAATTCAATGGGAAATAGAAGGTGATTGTCCTTAACTTCATGTTCTGTGACCAT